GCCATGTGACTAAGACCTCCAAATTTTTTACTATTAATCTCCCAATACTTTAATGGATCTTGGTCTCTTGATAATCTTTTTTCTTTGGCATATTCTGTGAGCAAATTAGCATTAGTGTATGATATTTGGTTTTCAGATTCCTCATCTTCATCGTCACTATCTAACATATTAGCCATAGAGTCTTCTAAATTGTTGCAATATTCTTTTCTTACAGCATTTGATTTTTCTGTGCTAGTTGTAGTTGTTGTGATATTTACTTCTGTTTCTAAAGCTGTAAGTAGTTTCTGTTTTATATCTTTGATAAGAAAATCACTGAAAAATTTACCTTTGTAACGTGGATCTAAAAATGTTGCTATTTGGAACAATATATTTTTGTCGATTTCAGAAAAACGATAATCTAATTCATTCTTCAAAGAAGACAAAAAATCAAGAACGGCAGGTGTGCTGATGTTGAGAGTTTCCCCACTATTAGCAGAAATTTGAATCTCGTCATACAATTTATTTAATGCTCGTACTAGAGGAATAACGTCGGATATACATATGTTTTGTGCGCTCAATTTTTTTGTGGTATCCTCCAGAGGCTTCAGTACTCTCACTAATTCTTGAATTAAAATCCACTCTTCGGCATCAAACTGTTCTATTTTATTATTAGTAGAATAAAGCGACAACGAATCCTTAATGCAATCAAGTCTTTCCAACATATAATAGCTGGAATTCCAGCGTGTCGGCGAGTCTTGCAAAACTTTTAAAACTCTTTGATTGAGTCGAACTTGTATTTTTTCTAATTCTTGCTTTGCCATTGTAGAATGGTTGAAATGTCCTGCAATTTTTCTGCATTTTGTAAGTAACATGGATATTGCATCAACATTTTTAATAGCTTCTTTGACCACCAGATGCAGCTGATGTGCTGTACAGTCAATATTATTTATGTCAGATAAAGTGCAGGCACGCTTCATGTTGGATCCCCCATCTCTTACTATGCAGTGCACATTCTGTTTTGGGATTCCCCACTCTTCGAGCATACATTGAAATATTGCCGAAATGTAATCTCCCGTGTGGCGTTCGTCAAGAATCTCCGCTTTCAAAACGATATTTTTTCTTATAAAATCTTTTGTAATACCATGACATGTTAAGGATAATAATGAAACTCCTGACGAAGAATCTGACCAGATATCTGATGTAAAGGAAACTTTCTCAAAATCCTTCAACATGATCTTTATTTTCGATGACACTTTATCGTAAAGTTCGCTGCAAACAAGTTCCGTAAAATATTTCCTGCCTTTTAGAACATAATTTGGAACAACATGATTCAACAATCGTCGGAACCCCAATCCTTCTATGTGTTGAAAAGGTAAATCAGATAAAGCTATCATTTCTGCAATTAAATAGTCAATTTTTATTGATTTGGGGTTTGTATTATCCCACATTTTGAGTTTTTCTATGTATTCGTTAAAAAATGTTTGTCTAAATTCTCTTTTTACCGTTTGTAAAGATGTTCCCTGTTGAACGTTTTCGTCGGCACTCTTCTTAGCGGAGTCTTCTTTTAAGAATAAAGCATATTCTTGTGGATGTTTCCTCTGGAGGTGATTTTTTAACGATGTTGTACCTTTACCCTTACGGGAATACTTTCCTTCACAAATTTTACATTTAGCACATTTGTCATTTACTATCGTAAAATATTACCATATTATACTATAACATAAACTTTTTGTCGACATCGTTTTTATTTTAATTTAATTCAACACTCTCCAAAAACACAAACGTAATCTATGCTATCCCCTGTTACACTAGCCACAAACCAGTGTTTCTCAACGTAGGGTTCACGCCCCACAGGGGCAATTGGATTGCTAAGGAGGACAATTCGAAAATGGACTTGTCCAGAGTTTAAGTTAACCGTATAGCCGCTGTAGAGGAGACATAAGGATTTTAGAAAGGCTTAGGTGGGGCATAGCACAAAAAAGGTTGGGAAACACTGCACTAAACTATTGTGGCGGTACGCTATATTTTTGTAAATATTAATTTTAGTTTAGTTTCGTTTCTTCTTTCTACCCCTTGTTCTATTGTTCTATTTTCTTCTAGAACTTTCTTATCTATTCCCTGTCCCTTGGGTGGGATGAGCAGTTCCTAGAAATTTGAGCAGCAAAGGTGTAAACAGGAACCGGAGAAAAAAGAGAAGTGACGTAGCAGGTCATTCGTAAACCGGACGGCAGAGTGTACGGACGAGGTGAGAATACTGGGAGTCGTATTTTCAATGACCGAATAGTTTAGAAAAAAGATCCTGTTTTAAGGTCGTATTGAGGACTGTGGAAGGAAAAATCCTAATTAATGAAGAAGAGAACTGGCCAGTTATAGGAGAAGGACGTGTGTTATCCCACCCAACAGTACTCATAAAGAAACAAGCCGAAAAAAGAGACAACCCCAGATATCCCTATTTCTATCTTATATACCATTTTTTTCTGTCTTCTTAATTCTATCCCTTTTTTTGTTATTAGTGTTAAGTTAGTGTTTAAGGTTAGTTTTAAGGTTCCGGGTTATATTGTCGCGATCGGCATCTGTATTGTACACGTGCTTTGGATACAGCGAACTATTATTTTCGTTGTAATTTCGCCAGTGGCGTAGCGTGGGTGTCAACCGCCCGGGGCGGAGGAAATTTTCGTCCCCCCTTATTTAGGTATCTCAATTTAAAAGACCAAAATTCAGTTTCGTCACAGAATAAGTAATGAAAAATTCCGTGCTAGTGTTGCCACCTTATTAAAATCGCTGACCCGGACGGCAGGTGAAGTTTGTTCGAATAGAAGTTCCTGATGCATGCGTATGCCATTTTGCAATGCGAAGAATAATGTGCAGTGCATGCTGGTTCTAAATCAGTTACAGTTAGCGACTACGGAGACATGGATAGAAGTAACGCAAGTGACCTAGCTCTATTGGATATTGGAGGTGTATATATATACGAATAAATCGTACAAGCAAAAACAAAAAAAAAAGGTCAACAGGTCGCGCACGATATCCCCGGACGGCTAGTCGATTCCAGGTCTATCCAGATGGATTTAACACTATTCCGTGCTCATTTCAATCGGTCCAAGTCGTAGGTGGACGAAAATATGAAATAAAATGGTTCAAATTCTTACAAGATATTATTATTATTTATTGTGAAATTTTGCCGCCCCCACTACGCTACGCTACTGAATTTCGCATGCTACTGTTTGTACCGTGAAGTTGGAATTCCCCGAAATAGAATCTGTATAAAGACGCGAAATAGCTTAATTGGAAAATTATATCAAATTTTGTTACTTTATCCTGTCTGCCTTTGTGGTGAATTCTAATTTAGCACACTTTCACACTATAAACAAAAACACGCCGCGTTATTAACGCAAAGCGTCAACTATCGGTCCAAGGTCACACGCACCGGCGCCGACTGAGTACGAAAGTTGAGATCTGTTTCCGTATCCGCGGATATACATTTTTAACGATCCGGCACATCACTAAATAATACTCGTAGCATATAAGGAATTCCATTTTAAATCCAACTTTTTACATATCAAGAAAATTGTTTTTCTCTAGCTTTTGTAATGAAAATAATATCAAATATTAATTGTTCATTTTATGGTAATACAAAGATGTAGGTGAAATATACTTATCACATGTCATCAGATTGTTAATTATCAAATTCTCTGTTTTATCTTGTAAAATGTATGTAAATTATGCATTATTATTATTATTATTATTCAATTTAAAATTATAAATGATTTTTTCTGTTCTTAATTGAAAATATAAAATAATAAATTTATATAAATTATATTAATTTTAATGTATAGATGAAATAGTAAAGACAATTGGCAACTATGCCACTAAGCGGAACCACATTTGTTTATATTCAACGCTGTGATATTTCCTAAATACTTTTTAATGCTTGGTCCAACTACGAAAATGTCTTCTAAATGTATCAGCAAATAATATTTCACGAAGCCTTTCACGTGTTATTAACCAAAAATGCTTTTAACGCTTACATTGCTTATGATTGACCTTTTTAATCATTAATTTCAATATGTTTTACATATAAAATACAAAATAATTATAAAATATTGGAAGAATTGAGTAAACTTCATGTGAATTGAAAAGAAATAAAGATTTTAAAAAAGCAAATTCATTGACACGTATTAAATCGTGTAAAAACAGTATTTAGGTATTTACATTATTGTAGCAAATGCATATTAATAAAAAGCCATGTAAATTGTATTCCATTGTTTTTTCTTGCTTTTCTGTTTGATGGGACCATCGCTCCGAGTGCACTTGCTTTCCCTTATAACAGGGGTCGGCAACAAGCAGTCCGTTTCAAGTTTTTCTGCGGCCCACCAAGGAATATAATTTTTGTATGGTAAAGGAAAATTAGAAAGGCTTTTTTATTTTTGTTATATTATAAAATTTATTGATTGTATTATTAATATTATTTTTTATAAATAAAAAGTAACAAAAAGTAGTAAAAGTTTTTATTGATAATATTTTTTAAATTTCCAAGAAACGGTAAGCAAGGTCAATCGTGTACTGTACGTACTGAGGTACACTCGTGCTGCCTCGCCTTTCAGAACAGCTGGTACCAGCTTTCCCGGGACGTTCTCATGTACGATTCAGGAGAATATCGGTACGAAGCCATAGGAAAGCTAACTTACCTCATCTGTTCAAATATAACACAAAATTTTCAATTTTCATGCTAGTAAAATACTGGGGGACCGAAGAAAAAGGTATGGGAAAAAATTTTACTGAATAAATCAGGAAATTATTATCAGTGTAACACAGGCCTGGTGTAATATATTAACGTTCACAAGCGAGTGACGTTTCTCTGTAACAGGTAGCTGGTTTATGCGACTTCTACATTATTTTATATAGGTAAATTTCTAATTAGAAATACGTAAGTTATTTTCATTTTATTAATAGAATAATTTATATTTTATCGTAGTAAAAAAATAAAATGCCAAAAAGAAAAAAAATTAATGAGGAAAACCGCGAATTTAATGAAAAGTAGACTTTTAATTATTTTTTTACTAATAATTACAATAAAGAACTATGCTTAGTTTTCGAAAAATCTATTAGATGTTTTCAGTATGTACGATCTCAAGTGGGAGAATTTAAGAAATGTGACAACTGATGGCGCAAAAAACATGGCAGGTCGCAATACTGGTTTAATAGGATTGATTAATAAAAAAAATTTAAAGAATTGAATATTAAACAGCATCCTATACAACTTCATTGTATTATCCATCAACATGCACTTTGTGTAAAAGTTGTAAATTTGGAAAATGCTATGAATATTGTAGTAACATCCATCAATTATATTCGCAAGAACGGGAGGAACCATCGAACATTTCAAAAATTCTTAAACGAAATAGATGCAGAAAATGAAGATATTGTGCACTTTTCTGAAGTAAGATGGCTCGAGATTTTTATGCAAAAGATATTGATATATTAATATTTGAAAATCCTTTTATATATGATATTTTAATAGTATCAGACAATTTACAACTAGAGTTAATTGATTTATAATCAAACAAAGTATATATAAAAATAATTTAATTTCTTTCTATTCAGACCTACCAGAAATTAAATTTCCTAATTTAAGAAATTTTGCAAAATCAATGATTTGCATTTTTTCGAGCACTTATTTATGCGAACAAACTTCAACAATGAATTGCATAAAATCGAAATATAGAACGAGACTGACCGATAAAAATTTGCAAAATATTTATATTACAAAAGAATTTATATATATATATTTTTTAATATTGCAAATTTCAACGTGTACTCACCTTTTCCAATTCTTCCCCACCCAACCATCAATGCTGTTCCGGAAGTGTATTTTCTATTTACACTTGGTAATGCGATAGGTTTTACTATTGAAGGAAGAATAGCAGTGGAATTTAGTATCAAAAGTGCAATATCATAAAAGAATAACTGTTTTCTAAAATCTGGATGTACAATTTTTTCAGAAAAACGCACTGTAGTTCCTACGTATTTATCTTTGTGTCCAACCGTTCCCAACAATTGTTCAGTTGTGTAACTGTAATTTATAAATATTGAAGACATAAAGTTATGGAAAATTAAGTTTAATATAGAAGAATAGTTTACCGAAAAACTTATTTTTATTTTAAAAANACTTCCTTTCCCAACGGAACCCGAAACTGAATCACCCGGACATCTTTTAAAAAAATCTACGATTGGTGAAACCCGGCCACGAGACCCGAAGGTATAAAAGACCAGGTGCCGAACGGAAGGGAGGTTGTTCGATTTCGTTTACCCAGATCCAGGACGCCACCCGACCGCCACGCCGACGAACCCTGGGACGCTCCCGAGATACGACCGCATACCTACCCGATCAGGAGCCTCGATCCGAGTAACCCTTCAAGCAAGACATAGACCGAAAGTTCATCCGAGGTATGACCCNGTGACAGTGTAAACTGTGTTTTTTTTCATGTCTGATATTGTAGCCATATTGCGTATTGTTTAACATGTTGGATAGTGGTTCAGGGCTAAGCAGAACCAGAGAGGATTCAAAGAATCGGAAAACCGCGAATTTAATGAAAAGTAGACTTTTAATTATTTTTTTACTAATAATTACAATAAAGAACTATGCTTAGTTTTCGAAAAATCTATTAGATGTTTTCAGTATGTACGATCTCAAGTGGGAGAATTTAAGAAATGTGACAACTGATGGCGCAAAAAACATGGCAGGTCGCAATACTGGTTTAATAGGATTGATTAATAAAAAAAATTTAAAGAATTGAATATTAAACAGCATCCTATACAACTTCATTGTATTATCCATCAACATGCACTTTGTGTAAAAGTTGTAAATTTGGAAAATGCTATGAATATTGTAGTAACATCCATCAATTATATTCGCAAGAACGGGAGGAACCATCGAACATTTCAAAAATTCTTAAACGAAATAGATGCAGAAAATGAAGATATTGTGCACTTTTCTGAAGTAAGATGGCTCGAGATTTTTATGCAAAAGATATTGATATATTAATATTTGAAAATCCTTTTATATATGATATTTTAATAGTATCAGACAATTTACAACTAGAGTTAATTGATTTATAATCAANTCTGAATAAATGTTTGTTTGTTTATTAAAAGGTCGTCTTTATTTCGGGTATCGTTAACGCTTTACCGTCGACCCCTCTCACCTCCTCCACTCGACCTGACAAAAGAATCCCGACTGTACGGGATAGAAAAAGCACTTTCTACGCCATCCACTGACCAGTGGGCAGTTGTCACCCAACTGTTGCCTATCAAAAAGAGGTACGACCTCGTCCTACCTCAGGCTACCCACACAAAGAACTAGTGCGAAAAGGGGGGTTAGGTTCCTAAAATTAAAAAAACATGTTGTTAAATCCTTATTTAAATCGGATTTATTATTCTTTCTTTCATAGGTAAAATACTTATTTATTATTTAAGTAAATATTTTACCAGTGGATTATTCATCCTATATGATGATCTCAGCACGAGCATTATCAACTGGTAACAGTTTTTGGGTGCGTTCGTTAATAGCGGTCGCTCTGTAACGGGAGTGCGCTGCTGTTTGTAGGCATTTAGGAACGACGGTGAAAGAAAGATGGCAGCGCCCGCACTATCGATAGTATCGTGATGGAAGAATCTATAATTCTAAAATGAGCTTTTAGAGGCAAAAAAAGGTCCCAATTGTTAAATTTAACCATTAAATGGATTATTTGTTCAAAGAGCATTCAAAGTAACCAAAAAAAAAAACAATTAGAATGCTCGCAGGGAGTTACGCGGAGGTATAAAAGAACGCACCCTTTATTACATTTCATGTTCTACGAAGGTTTTACTCAATTCCCGAACCGTGTTAGAGTGAACCCGTGCTGTAGTAGTGCCTTGTTATATGGGGGATACCTGTATTTAGCGGATCGGGCTTCTTTCGCGAAAAACCTTCAGAAAAGGTATAGTTGTGCCTTGCGAACTCCCCAAATTCGTCATTCTCTACAGAAGGTCATGATACGAAATGCTGATAATTTGCTGGTATTAAACGAATTTAAATATTGAGTAAGTTTTTAATGAAATTGGGAATGCTAATAACATGCACAAGTTTCACTAAGTCTGGCCTCTAGTTGTCTCTCTATTCCTTAATATTTAACTACTAAAATTTAATAGCATAACTGTCTTACAAATAGAAATAAACCTGCCAAGCACCAAAAGCTACACCTCAGATATAACGCAAAATATAAGATAATGCGTTGCGCTTATTCACACAAACACTCGAATACACACACTTTGCCAATAGTTACTGAGCAAAGGACTGAACTTTTGAATATAAAAACAGCAGAGAAGCACTAGATTTACTGTTACTTAAAATAATTTTATTTGGTAATATTAATAATAAACACATTTTACTAATACACGGTAATAACAATAATACAAACGTACTGAATTTTACATTATACTTTCCAATGACTTGAAACAGAATCATACCATTACCATATTCAACTTTTCCTAAAACTATTTTTATAATTCTATTACTAATCATATCAGATATTTTTATGTGTGTTTTTTAAACATTATTTTTAATTTTATTATTTATAAAAAAGATTCTAAGACATTGAAAAATATTCCAACTGAAAAAAGACAAATGAAAGAATTTATAATGTTTTTACATGCAATTTTAAGTAATTGTAAAGCTATTTAAATGATTTACAATTATGCAAATGTTAAGTCTCCTACGCAGTTCTGTTTTATAAAATCAATAAAGTAACTTGTGGAAACATAAATATTAACTCCACCCGGTTTCATCTGACTTGTACTTGAAACCCCAATTTCTATTCGTACTCCGTCATTATTTTCATATATAAGGGGACCACCAGAATCACCCTAAATATAAAGTTTTAAACCGTAAAATTACATATTACATATTACATTACATATTACATATAACATACGTATTTACTTACAGGCATTATTGAAGCACCGTTTTGACGTGTGAGAATTACATACTCTGTCATGTAGATTGATTGACCTTTGTAGACGGTGTCATTAACATTGACTATATTAACAGAAGCCATTTTCAGGAAACGTGATGAGTCTTTCATAGTATTATGCAAGCAAATTTACAATTAGTTTATAGTTACTATTATTATATTTGCATATGATTTAATATAATCCAATTTAATATTGATAATAACTTATAATAATAAATATTTTGAAAATTTTCATCCTGTAATAATACTAGTGATGTGCCGGATATCCGTATCCGTTACTTTTTAGCGGATCTTTAATTATAGTAAGTTACCAGTATAAGGTATTAATTTAACTATCTTTATAGTGAGATCAAACCTTTAATGCTAATTGAAATAATCATCACGGTTATATTATATTATAATAATTATCAAATTATCAGATAAAATAATCACATTTTTAGAAACTTCAAAAAAATTAAATGTCATAATCAAAATTAATTAATGGTAAATTGTACTTCAAAAAGAGTAACTTGGCAGCTTTATCCCCCAAAAGTCTATTACGATGAGGATCGTAAATAATTCCTGCTGCACTGAAAAACTGCTCACTTGGAACGCTTGTTGCAGGTGATGATAAATATGTGCGAGCCATGTGACTAAGACCTCCAAATTTTTTACTATTAATCTCCCAATACTTTAATGGATCTTGGTCTCTTGATAATCTTTTTTCTTTGGCATATTCTGTGAGCAAATTAGCATTAGTGTATGATATTTGGTTTTCAGATTCCTCATCTTCATCGTCACTATCTAACATATTAGCCATAGAGTCTTCTAAATTGTTGCAATATTCTTTTCTTACAGCATTTGATTTTTCTGTGCTAGTTGTAGTTGTTGTGATATTTACTTCTGTTTCTAAAGCTGTAAGTAGTTTCTGTTTTATATCTTTGATAAGAAAATCACTGAAAAATTTACCTTTGTAACGTGGATCTAAAAATGTTGCTATTTGGAACAATATATTTTTGTCGATTTCAGAAAAACGATAATCTAATTCATTCTTCAAAGAAGACAAAAAATCAAGAACGGCAGGTGTGCTGATGTTGAGAGTTTCCCCACTATTAGCAGAAATTTGAATCTCGTCATACAATTTATTTAATGCTCGTACTAGAGGAATAACGTCGGATATACATATGTTTTGTGCGCTCAATTTTTTTGTGGTATCCTCCAGAGGCTTCAGTACTCTCACTAATTCTTGAATTAAAATCCACTCTTCGGCATCAAACTGTTCTATTTTATTATTAGTAGAATAAAGCGACAACGAATCCTTAATGCAATCAAGTCTTTCCAACATATAATAGCTGGAATTCCAGCGTGTCGGCGAGTCTTGCAAAACTTTTAAAACTCTTTGATTGAGTCGAACTTGTATTTTTTCTAATTCTTGCTTTGCCATTGTAGAATGGTTGAAATGTCCTGCAATTTTTCTGCATTTTGTAAGTAACATGGATATTGCATCAACATTTTTAATAGCTTCTTTGACCACCAGATGCAGCTGATGTGCTGTACAGTCAATATTATTTATGTCAGATAAAGTGCAGGCACGCTTCATGTTGGATCCCCCATCTCTTACTATGCAGTGCACATTCTGTTTTGGGATTCCCCACTCTTCGAGCATACATTGAAATATTGCCGAAATGTAATCTCCCGTGTGGCGTTCGTCAAGAATCTCCGCTTTCAAAACGATATTTTTTCTTATAAAATCTTTTGTAATACCATGACATGTTAAGGATAATAATGAAACTCCTGACGAAGAATCTGACCAGATATCTGATGTAAAGGAAACTTTCTCAAAATCCTTCAACATGATCTTTATTTTCGATGACACTTTATCGTAAAGTTCGCTGCAAACAAGTTCCGTAAAATATTTCCTGCCTTTTAGAACATAATTTGGAACAACATGATTCAACAATCGTCGGAACCCCAATCCTTCTATGTGTTGAAAAGGTAAATCAGATAAAGCTATCATTTCTGCAATTAAATAGTCAATTTTTATTGATTTGGGGTTTGTATTATCCCACATTTTGAGTTTTTCTATGTATTCGTTAAAAAATGTTTGTCTAAATTCTCTTTTTACCGTTTGTAAAGATGTTCCCTGTTGAACGTTTTCGTCGGCACTCTTCTTAGCGGAGTCTTCTTTTAAGAATAAAGCATATTCTTGTGGATGTTTCCTCTGGAGGTGATTTTTTAACGATGTTGTACCTTTACCCTTACGGGAATACTTTCCTTCACAAATTTTACATTTAGCACATTTGTCATTTACTATCGTAAAATATTACCATATTATACTATAACATAAACTTTTTGTCGACATCGTTTTTATTTTAATTTAATTCAACACTCTCCAAAAACACAAACGTAATCTATGCTATCCCCTGTTACACTAGCCACAAACCAGTGTTTCTCAACGTAGGGTTCACGCCCCACAGGGGCAATTGGATTGCTAAGGAGGACAATTCGAAAATGGACTTGTCCAGAGTTTAAGTTAACCGTATAGCCGCTGTAGAGGAGACATAAGGATTTTAGAAAGGCTTAGGTGGGGCATAGCACAAAAAAGGTTGGGAAACACTGCACTAAACTATTGTGGCGGTACGCTATATTTTTGTAAATATTAATTTTAGTTTAGTTTCGTTTCTTCTTTCTACCCCTTGTTCTATTGTTCTATTTTCTTCTAGAACTTTCTTATCTATTCCCTGTCCCTTGGGTGGGATGAGCAGTTCCTAGAAATTTGAGCAGCAAAGGTGTAAACAGGAACCGGAGAAAAAAGAGAAGTGACGTAGCAGGTCATTCGTAAACCGGACGGCAGAGTGTACGGACGAGGTGAGAATACTGGGAGTCGTATTTTCAATGACCGAATAGTTTAGAAAAAAGATCCTGTTTTAAGGTCGTATTGAGGACTGTGGAAGGAAAAATCCTAATTAATGAAGAAGAGAACTGGCCAGTTATAGGAGAAGGACGTGTGTTATCCCACCCAACAGTACTCATAAAGAAACAAGCCGAAAAAAGAGACAACCCCAGATATCCCTATTTCTATCTTATATACCATTTTTTTCTGTCTTCTTAATTCTATCCCTTTTTTTGTTATTAGTGTTAAGTTAGTGTTTAAGGTTAGTTTTAAGGTTCCGGGTTATATTGTCGCGATCGGCATCTGTATTGTACACGTGCTTTGGATACAGCGAACTATTATTTTCGTTGTAATTTCGCCAGTGGCGTAGCGTGGGTGTCAACCGCCCGGGGCGGAGGAAATTTTCGTCCCCCCTTATTTAGGTATCTCAATTTAAAAGACCAAAATTCAGTTTCGTCACAGAATAAGTAATGAAAAATTCCGTGCTAGTGTTGCCACCTTATTAAAATCGCTGACCCGGACGGCAGGTGAAGTTTGTTCGAATAGAAGTTCCTGATGCATGCGTATGCCATTTTGCAATGCGAAGAATAATGTGCAGTGCATGCTGGTTCTAAATCAGTTACAGTTAGCGACTACGGAGACATGGATAGAAGTAACGCAAGTGACCTAGCTCTATTGGATATTGGAGGTGTATATATATACGAATAAATCGTACAAGCAAAAACAAAAAAAAAAGGTCAACAGGTCGCGCACGATATCCCCGGACGGCTAGTCGATTCCAGGTCTATCCAGATGGATTTAACACTATTCCGTGCTCATTTCAATCGGTCCAAGTCGTAGGTGGACGAAAATATGAAATAAAATGGTTCAAATTCTTACAAGATATTATTATTATTTATTGTGAAATTTTGCCGCCCCCACTACGCTACGCTACTGAATTTCGCATGCTACTGTTTGTACCGTGAAGTTGGAATTCCCCGAAATAGAATCTGTATAAAGACGCGAAATAGCTTAATTGGAAAATTATATCAAATTTTGTTACTTTATCCTGTCTGCCTTTGTGGTGAATTCTAATTTAGCACACTTTCACACTATAAACAAAAACACGCCGCGTTATTAACGCAAAGCGTCAACTATCGGTCCAAGGTCACACGCACCGGCGCCGACTGAGTACGAAAGTTGAGATCTGTTTCCGTATCCGCGGATATACATTTTTAACGATCCGGCACATCACTAAATAATACTCGTAGCATATAAGGAATTCCATTTTAAATCCAACTTTTTACATATCAAGAAAATTGTTTTTCTCTAGCTTTTGTAATGAAAATAATATCAAATATTAATTGTTCATTTTATGGTAATACAAAGATGTAGGTGAAATATACTTATCACATGTCATCAGATTGTTAATTATCAAATTCTCTGTTTTATCTTGTAAAATGTATGTAAATTATGCATTATTATTATTATTATTATTCAATTTAAAATTATAAATGATTTTTTCTGTTCTTAATTGAAAATATAAAATAATAAATTTATATAAATTATATTAATTTTAATGTATAGATGAAATAGTAAAGACAATTGGCAACTATGCCACTAAGCGGAACCACATTTGTTTATATTCAACGCTGTGATATTTCCTAAATACTTTTTAATGCTTGGTCCAACTACGAAAATGTCTTCTAAATGTATCAGCAAATAATATTTCACGAAGCCTTTCACGTGTTATTAACCAAAAATGCTTTTAACGCTTACATTGCTTATGATTGACCTTTTTAATCATTAATTTCAATATGCTTTACATATAAAATACAAAATAATTATAAAATATTGGAAGAATTGAGTAAACTTCATGTGAATTGAAAAGAAATAAAGATTTTAAAAAAGCAAATTCATTGACACGTATTAAATCGTGTAAAAACAGTATTTAGGTATTTACATTATTGTAGCAAATGCATATTAATAAAAAGCCATGTAAATTGTATTCCATTGTTTTTTCTTGCTTTTCTGTTTGATGGGACCATCGCTCCGAGTGCACTTGCTTTCCCTTATAACAGGGGTCGGCAACAAGCAGTCCGTTTCAAGTTTTTCTGCGGCCCACCAAGGAATATAATTTTTGTATGGTAAAGGAAAATTAGAAAGGCTTTTTTATTTTTGTTATATTATAAAATTTATTGATTGTATTATTAATATTATTTTTTATAAATAAAAAGTAACAAAAAGTAGTAA